GTCTGTTGTTTCGGCCATGGTCAGCTCTTCTTTAGGGAGCGAGCCCATCCAGGGACTGAAACCCTTTGCTGCCGCATCCTTCGTCTCTCTCATAAGGCAAGGAGCGGCCTTTAGAAGACTGCTGATCTACATCAAAATCATCCTTGTACTTATCCCGGTTCTTGCCTCGGTCCCTCTCCTTGGATGATGTAGGGAACCCAAGTTGCTCATCTTCAATCCTTATTAGTGGTTATGGAAATCCGCCCATGTGGTTGCTTGGAACTCGAGCAGGCTTTCCTTCAATTTTTGGGAGGTGTCGGAACTCCTCAGGTTCCACGCCTTAGTTAATGTCGCTGCTGCCCACTCATCCGGTACGGCCGGTAGCATCATCCTTTCTTTCTGGAATCTAAAAAAGAACTCCCGCAGCAATTTGGACCCACCCTGTGCATCCGCCTTCTTGGCCTGGACCTTTCTGGCCCCGGCATGGGCCTTAATGAACGAATCTGCGAGCATTTTAAAGAATCAACTTAATGCTCGGGTAAAAGTGAATACCATGTTAGGGCCCATTTCGTGAGGGTTTCTCCAAACTTTTTCAGTAGAACCGACTCGATCTCAAGTTGAGCCAATTCGTTCCCCTTCACAGTCGTTGTGTAAGTTGTGAGGTGCTCCTAAGGGTTTGAGGTCCCCTCGTATTTTGGTATGTACGGCATCTTGAATTTCTTCGGGATTAGCTCCGTCGCTGCACTCAGTTTGAACGACAACTGAGTATATTTTTTCGAATCTGGGCCCTTCAAAATTAGTGGTGCGCCGGGAATCTGGTCCATTCGGACGTGAAACTCCTTCGCGTTCTGATCCATCCTCTTGTTCATCTCCCTTACGAATCTCATGAGTTTGGTTTTGAAGAGATCGTTACTGTTGTCGTTACCGGATCCGCTACCGGTCCCCCCAGCACCGTCAAAGCCGACCTCACCCCTAGGAGTGTTGTTATTGACTCTTTGAGTCGTCTGCTTTGTAGGAACGCCTAGAGGAGCTGGGCCTCTTCCGTTTGCATTGTTGGAAGCACCTGATAATGCCTGTTTTAATTCCGTCATGACTTGATCATGCCTTGAGAGATGGCCCATGATGGCCTTCTGTTGCTCTCTCAAGATCTTTACTGTTTCCACAACGTGTTCGTCTTCTACGTCATTGGGAGTTGGATCTTGCATATGTCGTGGGTATATTCCTCCACGGACCGAGGTTGCCTCGTCCCCCTCATTGCGTGTTCATTGATTGAATCTTCGTGTTGAGGAAGGTCCTCATGTCCCTTAACGTTGTGTGTGGCGTTGACATCATTAACTGCCATTTTTGATTTTTTCTATGAAACAAAGAATCAAACAAGTCAGTAACAAACACATGGATCAACTCAGTTATGCAGTTGTCTAAGCTCCACGGTGGGCGCCAAACTATTTACCCATAAAACGGTACGATTTAATCGTTGCGTGGTTTATAGATAAGAGAACTGACTTGATCCAAAATGATAAATAAATTAGATTAAAAATAAGACTTACCGTTAAAATCAAAGGAAATGGCAGGCCTAGCTCGGGAAGCGATGCTTCTGAGGGGCAGAAATAAGAGCAATATACAACAGAAAGTAAAGTTGTACTATTTCACTTGAGAATAGAATGTAGCATAAGTTTTGCTTAAGATTCCGTATGTTACAATGGCTGTTGAGCCTACTATATATAGCTAGACCCAGGGAAACAAGATCCTACGATCAAACCCCTCTTAAATGACAATAAAGAGGGTCATTGATGAATATGTAACGACAGACTATGAATGCCAAAATTCTCTACAACGATTTCTATTTAATACTAGGGAATATTCTTCATTAAATGCTTCCCGATGGCAAACATTCCATCTGTTCGCGTTGACTATGCTTCCTTCGGAGTTCATCCGATACCAATGACAGTTGTTGCTTCCGGTACCAACTGTTACTCGATTTATTCTCTGCCTGTGTTCGGTTCTACATGTCGACTTACCATTCGATCATTTAATATAAGTCAATTTTACCCCATATAGGAGGGCGATTGCGCAAATTGGGAAGTCACTCACAATGAGAAGTTTTATTTTGTGTCTCATACAACTGACACTAGTTGTATGAGCTTCCTTTTTGTTTCACAAATTTGTGGACCCCAATCTTACACTTCTGGGTCCACAAAACTATGAGACAAAAAAGTTGACTCATACAACTAGTGTCAGTTGTATAAGACATAAAATAAAATTTTTCCACTCACAATGAAGTGCTGCTCTCACTGGCAGAAATAGGTGTTCGCAGTCTTGACAGGACGCAAATTTTAACCCTGACACCTAAATTAAGACCCTGAAAAAAGATTAAGAATAATGGCAATAAAACTTATATAAACGTCTATATTCTCATCTTTATATACCTTAGTGGTGGTAATAGATACAGTTTGCACCAAAGATAATGTGTGCTAGCTAGGTTGCTAGCAAAACTTTGTTATGTAACTGAAAATTCAGAACAAGTTCGGAGAAATTTTTGTATTAGCCCAAGAAAAAACTTCTCTAAAGTATAATAGTGCTATCTAAAAATGCGCAAAAATAGTAATTAAAACGTCAAACTGACACGTCACCCAGATTTTTATTGCTTAATTTGGATGAAATTTCTGGAAAAAGTTTCCTTGTGTTGTTGTGATTCGGTGAAACTGAGGTCGAATAAATTTTTGCTTGGACGTATAAACTTGAAGTTTCAACAATTAACAAACCTTTCCAAGTTTTGTGTAACGAAGCAAATTTGAGCTCAGCCAACTTGGACTTTTGACGTATCTAGAAACTAGGCCTTGACCCTAGACTACGTGCTGCGGCATTTTACCCATTCAGATCACAAGATCTGAAGTTTGAAAATTCTATAAGTGTAATATAATTTGTAAATAAACAAAAAATGGACGCAGAACAGTCTTTTGAGATATAAGTGTACCGTAATAAATATTAAAGATTCATAATGAATCCAGCTTGGTTGGAATGACATAATCGTTATTTGTGTTATATATACTAATTGAAAAGAAACAATTTTACTAGAATGTTTTCTATTGTCAGGACTGAAAATATGCTGCTCATCTGAATTTCAAATAAAAAGATAAAAAGAGTAAAAAACTCCTGAATTTTTCATTGAGCAATTTATGCAATCTGAAGATAATATAATTTGTAGGATTTAACTTATGCATCTTTTGCTTGCACGTAATTAATGTTATTAATCTGTTATACCTGATTATTATTTAATTTTTAGATTACCATATTAAAGCTATGAATAAATTACAGAATAATGTACTACATGAGTTGACCTTGTACTATTTTAGCCAAGTTGCAAGTTTGCAAATGTGTAGCCAAATATCAATAAGATCTTTTCTTTTCTCATTCTATCTAACTATAACAACCTAATCTTTTTTTTTTCATCACCTACCTACCCGTATTGCAGCTCTCTCCTCATTTTTCACCCATAAATATTTGATTTAATTAATAAAAAAGAATCATATGCAAACAAAAATGAAAACGAAAACCAGTTTCCCATTTTTAATGTAACTATTGATCGAGACACTCAGTCAACACTCATTCATGCCTTCTCCCATAACCAATACTTCTTCGATTTTTTTTTTTTTTTGTATATCTTCAGGCGTGAAATATCCGTGAGTTTTTATTCTTTGTTTCCCTCAAGTTTATACATACCTATCACAACTACAAAATGCAAAATCAGACGTGAGAAACCTAAAATCTCATCTCCTTTAATACTAATCTTGTTAAATTTCGATTATGATTTTGTGAGAAATTTGGAGTGGGTATACAAAGTTTGAAATTATTTGCCGGAGATTTGGACTAGTTTTATACAAGAATTACAAGTGAAAATCGTACAAAAAGTTCATCATACATGCTTATACACTTTTATACAATGTTATACACTTTTAAACAAATAGGTACATTATGTATATAGTTGTATAAAAGTGTATAAAGATGTATAATCACAGAGTAAAAATATTCGTGATACACTATGTATATAGGTGCATAAGAAGAATGATAAGTAGAAGGAGAAGGAGAAGGAGAAGAAGAAGAAGAAGCAAATGCGAGAAATTCACAAAATACCTATAAATAATGTATCAACCTTGTATACAATAGTGTATAAGAGGTGTTTATACACTATTATATGCTATTTATACAATATTATACATTATTATACAAATGAATCATATCAATGGAGCTTTACGGGTTCTTCTTCTTCCTTGGGCATCCTCTGAAATTTAACTCAAATATAGCATAAATCTACTCCAAATCACTTGAAATATAAGTTTTGAACACCTCTTGATGATTTCAATCAATTGGGACAACACCCATTCCAAACAACTAATAAATCGAAAAACCAAATTTTAGAACTATAAGTGACAAAATTACAGAATAATACATTCCATAAGTAATTATCAGCTTTGAATCTGGAAGGAAAATTAAAGGAAAATAACAACGGTAGAGAATTTTGGGGTGCAAAGGCGTGACACGGGAAGAAGAAGAAGAAAGAAAAAAGGGGTGTGCTAACTGGTGAAAATTAATTTTTAAGTTATGTACAACTTAAGCTACACTGGATAAGAGCTTCAAACACGAGCCATTTTCTTAAGGATTGTTGGACCGAGTGATAAAGGGTGTAGTTCTTCCAAAATTTATGCCATATGGTAGCAGATGATATATAGTCGCAAATTTCCTAGTCTATACTATATGGTAGTAGATGATATGTTGTCGGAAATTTCCTAGTCTTCCAGAGAAACCCGTGCTGTGGAAAATTAAAACAGTCCAACAAACACGGCCTTAAAATAAAGTGGTAATTAATCGGAAGTCACCAAAATATAAACGGTCCGATTCTTGCCGTCTCCAATCTTCTACACGCTTCCTCAGGATGAAAATATCCACACTAAACGAGACTTATCCTAGCCATCCATATTTTCTCACGTTGGACTATCGAGAATCCAACGGTTCTTATCTTAGCATGAGTATAGCCCTCCACATCATCTTCAAAACCTAACCTCATCATTTCTGAAATTACTCGTCTGCACAGCTAGCTTTCCGCCGCGATTCTTCTCTCATCCTCTTTACAGTACAACCTCTCTCTCTTCTCTCTCTGTATTTATTTGTACATATAATTCCTTTTTTTTTTCCTGTATTTGTGTATGTATGTAAGTATATAAGTATGTATGTATTGTTCTAAGGTTTAACATGGAATTTTTATGTAATTTTGTGAGAATCGGTGAAATGTTTGGTGTTTACTGTTTTGAAAAGCTTAGTATTGGTGGTTAATTTGAGCGGGTTCATTTTTTTTCTCGTTGTATGTAGTTAGGTTTGTTTGATGCGTTGAATTTGAAGTATTAGGTTTTAGATCTACGGATATGTTATGTGCTAAGAGCATGGGTTTTCTGAAAATCCTTAGGTCTTCCTTTTGCTTGGTAGGTCCTTTGCTTGAGAATTTGGAGAGACAAGATGTGTGTTAATGAAAAATATGAGGTTATTTATGCCCTTGAGGTTAGGTCAATTGACAAAGGTTGAGGGTGTTGTGTCTTAGGTCACAGGTTTAAGCCCTGTGTCAACCGGACTAATTTTGGTATTTAAGTGGAGAAGGGTGGAGGGGTGAGTCTATCATACATGAGTTTCGAAGGTTGTGATTGGCCCAAAGGATCTACTCCGGACCAGATGGACTTTTTTGGTCATTAAAAAATTGAGGTTATTTATTTAGCAATTGGATAAATCTCAATCTGTTTGAAACAACTTATGATAGATGACCGATTGCATAAGCCATGGTGGACACAGTCACCCGGTACTTGTGCTGGTGGGAAGTAGGAGGTACCTTGTGCAATATCCAAGACATGCATAAGCTGGCAGAGTTTCTCGGTACTTCTTCCAGTAACTAGCTAGATTCATTTTTATTTGGAGACGGCATGGTGGATTAAGGCTGGGATAAGGAGATATTCATGTGTGGATCGAATTGAACATGTAAAACAATTGTTGTACTCTCTCCGGTTTATTTTATGTGTCTTAGTTTGACTGCGCATAAAGTTTAAGAAAAGTAAGAAGATTTTTGAATCTTGTGGTGTTAAAATAAATATGAGTGTAATCAATGTTGTCAAAGGCGCGCTTAAGCCCTGAAGCGAGGCTCAAAACATGTTGAGTGCTTCACCACGCTTTGTGGACGCTTCAGTGTTGCATAAAGGTTCTAAGGCATGCTTTTCCTTGCCAACGAGTGTAATCTTGAAAAGGCGACACTAAATAATTGATATTTCACATCATCGTAATCTTTTTTCAATTTCTTTGTCCATATATTTATTTTTCATGCTTATAATTATTGTTCTTAGACTACATATACATACTTTTACTTTTTCTCCAGTTGCGCCTTTTTCCATTAAAGCCCACCCTTTATTTGCGCTTAGCGCTTAAAGCCCCAACGGACCTTAGAGCTTTTTTGCGCTTTTCGCCTTTGATAATGCTGAGTGTAATGTACCAAATGTCCTTGCATCTTGTGATCTTAAATATGCGATGTACAATGTTGGAGGTAAAGTGTTACTGCCTCTGTTTCAATTTATATGTTGTAGTTTGATTTGACACGGAGTTTAAGGAAAAAAATAGATTACTTTTGAAACTTATAGTTTTAAAAGCTTAAATGTGAAAGCATTTGTGGATGGAGTTGGAGCCTTCAATTTGTGTTGCTATAAAAGCTCCCCATTAAGGGTAAAATGGGTAAATGAAAATTTTTGTTTCCAGGTATAGAAATGTGTCGTACTTTTCGGAATCAACTAATAAGGAAAGTGTGTCACATAAATTAAAACGGAGAGAGTACTAAATATAGAAGAGATATTTTTTTTATAAAAAAGGAGAGGAAGACACATAAATTGAATCATAGGTAGTATCTGTTATTAAATGTAATTTTCTTAAATTATCTTCTAAACTTGAGCTTTTAACTCATCTTTCATCCCTCTGCACTTATAGAAGTTACGGGTGTTTAGGTAGTAAAGGTGTGTATATTGTCTTCTGTTATTCTGATCAATGAAAATATCACAAAGACAAGTTCAAGATGATGTTTATTTCATGTTTGAGTAAAGATGTTCAGTCTGGCAGTTGCAATTTACAAATGGTTTATTTAATGTGTTGCTTGTTGAGGACTTGAGGGCAATTTTCTTCAAATGTAGCATGTTGGATTGCAATGTTTTTTGGCTTCACATTTTATTTTCTCTAAAGTTCAAGAAAACTGTTTTAGGATATAGATGTTGCTAAATAAACTAGAATTTAACTATTGTAACATACAAATAGATGTCAATTGCCTTATTGTCGCCGGTAAAAAGTTGTCTTGTTTTCTCCTCCATTCTATGGGTTTCTTCCTTTTTTCACGTCTTATTTTTTTTATTTGTGCAGTTTATTGATATTCAAATGAGTCGTCCACAGGAACCACACCGTCCTTTTCTCCCGTTTGGAAATCCTTTCAAATTTATATTACCTAAGGGCCCGTACTTGTCTCCTAAGCTTCTTGCTCTGTTGAAAGCTTTTGAGGAGTCATTAGCAGAGAGGGTTAAGAGTGTTAAGCCAGGAGATAAGGAAGATATTCTCACTTTATCATGGATGACACAAGCAATAAGTGTACTTTGTGCAATTCATACAGACGTGAAAACTCTCATTACCGAACTTGAATTTCCCGTATGTGACTGGGATGAGAAGTGGATAGATGTGTACTTGGACAACAGTGTGAAGTTGCTGGACACTTGCATTGCTTTCAGTTCTGATATCTCAAGGCTCGGCCAAGGCCGCCTTTATCTTCAATGTGGCTTGCATAACTTGGATGGAACCTCAAAACAGTTCATGAAAGCCCGTTCATCATTTGATGGATGGAAGAGGCATATCAATTCAAAGAACCCAAGGCTGGAGAATTGCTTTGCCATCTTGGACAGCCTTACCGAGTCACTGAACCTACCTAAAATCAAGAATTCTGCAAAAGGGAAGGTTCTGATGCGAGCAATGTATGGAGTAAGGGTGGTAACTGTATTCATATTCAGCATGTTTGCCGTCACATTTTCGGGTTCTACAAAGAAGTTGAAGGATCTGCAGGTTCATGAAACTTGCTTGTGGACAGAAGCATTTGTTGATCTTCGCGATTTTATTAGTGGGGAGATCAGGAGTATTTATTCGAATGGAAGGCTCACAGCACTGAAAGAGCTGGAAGCAGTGGATACAAGTGTGAAGAAGTTGTACCCTATCATAGAGGATGGAGTAGACCCTAACGAAGCTGAGCAGTTGCAGCTTCTAACTTTAGGACTGACTGAAAAAGCAGAAAAACTTTCAGATGGACTAGATCTGCTAGCAAAGGAGGCAGATAGATTCTTCCAAATCCTTTTAACCGGACGCGATTCTTTGCTTTGTAACCTTAGAGTTGGTAGTACTGTCTCTAACCAAGCACAAGCGAACAACCATGTAGAAAGAACAGAGGTGAGATGAACTTTAAGAAAGAGGAAATCTCCTGTGTATAAGCAGGAGTGTGGGGGTTGGTGTGGGGGTTTCTGCTCTACAGTGGAATATTATGTACTATTAGTAATGCAATATATGGTAATTGTCGAAAAAGTGGTTGCTTGCCGGCGATATGGTTTATACATGTTGATATATGCGTGGACTGTGACATTAAACTATAATGGCTTTATACATGTTGATGTGTGAACTGCGACATTATTATGTTAAGATAACTGGGAGTGGGTTATAATGCAGACAACAATGTCCTCTTCGCCAGCAGAACTAGATACTATTTTAAACTACAAGTAGTACTGTAATCATTTGTTTTGTATTTAAATTGATTTAGTGGTGGGATATTGCTTTGATAAGCTGTCGACTGTCGTGGATGGAACTTATACTTTCGAACTTGCATAAATTCCAGCACAAATTCATCTTGTGTATACGCATGGATATTTTAGTAAAAACGATAACAAATAATAGCTTAGAATATAGCCAGCGTTTTACAGAAGTTGAAACAACTTAAAAATGTATTCCCTCTTCCGTTTTAATTTAGATAACACTTTTCTTATTAGTCCGTTTAAAAAAAATGACACATTTCTATAATTGAAAATAATTCAATTTTAAACTTTTCATTTAATCCATTTTACCCCTTAATTGAGTAGCTTTTATAATCACACTCCGACTAAGCCAAACTACCTCATTCAAATTGAATATGAGGGAGTAGTAGACACATGCTTTTTTCCAACATCAACACAACACAGTTCAGTATCTTGAAGTTCAATTCTTATAGTTAAAACTTCAGCAAATTTTCTTGAAATTGAACTACCACGCGAACGTCGGGAGATTTTCTTGAAGTTCGAACTCCGACTATTTTGCTCCTCAAGAAAATGGTGTGCATACTAATTCTTACTCGCAAAGAAGCAATAATTCATAATCATGTCTGTGCAACCCCCCTCTTTCTAGTTTGTGAGAGGGGTTGAGAATTTTGGTTTATGATGATAAACAAATAAAAATTGAAGTTCGAAATGTAGGAGTATATGCATAAGCTTTTCGTAATTTAATTTTAGACGTCAGTAAATATACTTTTTTTTTTGTTTTGAACCATGGTATTCGTTTTTATCACTAATTATATGGTCAGGTATTCATGGTTCGGTTTGGGTCGGTATTTGCTTAAAGAAATCGAACCAATTAAGTTGTTTTCTCAGATATCGGAATCAAATCAAACCAATTAAGTCGGTTTTTTTATCGATTCAATTATTGTCAAATTTTTTTAATTTTTCTTGGGTTTTGTCGATTTTTATCTTAAGTATGATAAATACACTATAAAATACATATTCCAGAGACTATATTCCAGCATAATACTTATCAAACCAATTTCTCTTTGAGTAAATATGTCATTTACCAAGATATTTTAATATAATTGAATTAAACAGTAATATAAATTTTACTAACTCTATTAAAGACAAGTTATTTTTAACATGAAATTGTTTCTTGGTTCGATTATTTGATTTTCCGCAAACACCCCTAATAGTCATGATTTATTTGTATCAATCAAAATTTATTGACTCATCACATGGGTTCACTTTCTTTAATTTCATAAACTTTTGTTTTTGGTACATTACGTAGATAAGCAAAAGAACAATTGATACTTTACTAAAGCAGTTAAATTTGATGTGTTCAAACAAATAAAATAATAATTTATATGAATAGTTTTCTGTAATATTCACCACACATATGTGGTTCTAATAGTAATTACTAGTAGTTATTTATAAATAACTCCAGTATAGAAGAACACAAACTCAACCAAGCATCATGAATATGTCGATATTACTTACTTATGACTAAATATGCAAACACATAGATACCCACAATAAGTCAAAGAACATGGCTATATTTATATCAATTTAGTTTAATTTTCGATATTTCGTTTTTCTGGAACAACCCTACACTTAGAAACCTTTTATTCAATCAGTTGCTCAATTGACGCAAGAGGAAGCCATTTCTGACCAACTCATGCATTCACGCATCGAAAATTTGGTATCCCAGATTTGGACCAAGTGCAATCGAGTCAAACAATGTGTCGCATTTATCTATTCAGTTAACATCCACCAACTTTAATTTTACACGAAAGGTTCTATCTTCTTGTAATAAATATTATTCTCTCTTATTAAATTGTAGCTGATTATTCTTTGTCTAAGAGTTGATTTCATATCATATTATTTTCATGAGGATCAAATCCAACTTTTAGTATATCCCATGAGTTATCCTTAGGAAAACATTTGGGATCTTTACCTAAATAATAGATCGGATTTATTCTTTAATTTTTTAACTGTATACATAGATTATATATTTATGTTTTTCTTTCGTTTAGCCGTCCACTTAATTTCTTAAATTAAAAATAGTCGGTGGCCCGAAACTATTAATTTTGGGAGCGGCTGAATGTATACATTTCTTTTAAGTTAGTTCTTCATTTTAGGTTGAAAGTTCAAAAATTTGGCGAAGCACACAATTTTTTGTCCCCCCTTACCCCATGAGCAGATTCAGGTTTAACAAGTGTTTGCCCCAACACTTTTAAGCTTTTGATCTTGAAATTTTGCCCAAAGGAGAAGAGATGGTCCAAAGTTAAAGATCACCTTAAAAAGGAGGGATTTGTATCTATACCCGCTTTTTGGGTCATGTTCTAACTTGTGCCTGCTTTGCAAAGAAAATTGCAAGCGTACCCGCTTTTTCGCGTAACTTCAGCATACGGGGCTGAAGTAGCAAAGTCAATCACGCAAAACTTCAGCATTCTAGTCGATGGGCCTGAAGTAGCATGTGTTGAACCAAGTGTGCTGAAGTTTTTGTTTGTAATTGCTGAACTTAAGCATAGTAGCTGAAGTTTTGTTCTCTATTTGCGGAAGTTTTTGTTTGTAATTGCTGAACTTAAGCATAGTAGCTGAAGTTTTGTTCTCATTTGCTGAAGTTTTTGTTTGTAATTGCACTAAAGAAGCTGAAGTTTTTTTTGTCATGGATTCATTAGTTTTGTCATTAAGCTTTTTCAAAAACTTCAGCAGAAGATGCTGAAGTTATTTAGTTCATTTATAAAAAACTTCAGCACTAAATAAGCTCAAGTTTTTTTGTCCTGGATAAGCTTTTTCAAAAACTTCAGCAGAGATGCTGAAGTTATTTAGTTCATTTGTAAAAACTTCAGCACTAAATAAGCTGAAGTTTTTTTTTGTCCTGGATTCATTAGTTTTGTCATAAAGCTTTTTGAAAAACTTCAGCAGAAGATGCTGAAGTTATTTAGTTCATTTGTAAAAACTTCAGCACTATATAAGCTGAAGTTTTTGAAAAAGCTTTCTAACATGCTAGATAAATAATCACCTTATTCTTTCATAGTGTATTACTACTATAAAATAATCAGATTGCCAACAATATCTAAATCATCAATTTCGGAAACATTAAACGTGAAAAGAACAAATTATCATGAAAAGAATCACTAAGTGTGACCTTAAACTTGCCGTACGTGGAAATATTCACAAATTATTGTCTACTAACTTACGTAACTATTTATAATTTGTTTTTAAATAATCTGATAAACATACTTATGGCAATCATCCCATGAAACTGAAGTTTCATAGCAGCACCAACAGCATCAGAAGAAAGAAGAAGAAGAAGAAGAAGAAGATGATGATGAAGAAGAAGAAAATAAAGGAGGAGAAGGAGAAGGAGAAAAGGGGCTGAAGTTGTTTAAAAAGTGGGTACAAATTAAAACTTTAAAAAAAATGGGTATAGGTTAAATGGGGGCGACCAAATAGGGCGCCCCATGCAATTTTTACCTTAAAAAGGGGGGATTTGTATCTATACTTGCTTTTTGGGTCACGTTTTAACTTGTGCCCGCTTTGCAAAAAAAATTGCAAGCGTAGCTGCTTTTTCGCGTAACTTCAGTATACAGGGCTGAAGTAGCAAAGTCAATCACGCAAAACTTCAACATTCTAGTAGACGGGCCTAAAGTAGCAAGTGTGCTGAAATTTTTGTTTGTAATTGCTGAACTTAAGCATAGTAGCTGAAGTTTTGTTCTCTATTTGTGGAAGTTTTTGTTTGTAATTGCTGATTTTAAGCATCGTAGCTGAAGTTTTGAAGGGCAACATAAGGCTAAGTGATGTCAGTGCAGCTACTGTAACACCCCGTAAATTCGGCTTAGGTATGAATGAGTTAAAGGAGTAGTAAGGTCATATTTTGAACATGTGAAGTCCCATCGGATGATTATGGGTGAAAATAGTTGTTTCAAAATCAAGATGGAAAGTAAGGTGCATAAGATTTGACAAAATCGACTAAGTTTGCAGAAGGTCTGTATTCCAGCAGGGTTTAGTGAAAATGTGTAAGGAATTTGAGAAAACTCAAAGCACAAAAGTTTAGGTCTTTGAAATAGCTTTCCAACGATATATTATGGAGCCTGAACGGATCTCTGTGCAAAAAGTTATGCGCGTTTTACAGAACAGTATGCGATATGCGCGCCCTGTAGCTCGCAGTGTTACTGCCGTTTTGTGCGGTCAGTAGCGCGGTCAGGTCTCCAGGAGCGTGGGCGCGCTCGTGGGGGGGTCATTTTAAAGCCATATTTCGTCCCCCACAGCTCCAAAACATAAAAACTTGCTCTAGAAAGGGGAACTCTCAAAACCTAACTCCTTAAGGGTCCTTCCACCGCCCAAGGTAAGTTCTAATGGTGATTCTAAGTTAATTTTAATTTCCCAACATCTTATTAACATGGGTAAACCCTCCATATCATTAGATATTCGATTGGGGCATCATTGTTGAGAGAAGGAACCCTAGAACTCGAATTCAAGAAGATTGAACGTCAAGAAGGTAATATCTTCACCATCTAATTGATTATAGCGTTGGATTAATGATTGTAGACTACAAGTTCATGAGATATGAGTTGATGGGTTTGATAGAAAAGCATGAACAATTATAGGTTTGGCTTGTTGATTGCTGATTATTGATTATTGATTAAGGGTGTTGTTTACCTTATGGGTGATAAAGAATGATGTTGATTATAACCATTTGAGACTTTAGAATTTATCTAGGAGAAAGAGAATGGGTTATTGGGTATAGAGACACCATTAATAAGGACTATGAAGCTTTATGTCACCAAGTGTTTGAGAAAATGCTTAAGTGATTAAAATATGAGAATTATTGCTAATATGGAATCCCTTTGACTTGTATTGATATAAATTAAAGTTGAAAGGGTTGGCGAATGTTGTATTACGCTCAAGAGCAGGAAGTTAAGGTATGTGAGACTAACTCTCTATGTTTGGGAATGTTAATGATTCTCCCTACACTACGTTTCTTTTACGACGTATCAATTGCCTCAGAAATATAGTTAAGCCTAGTTCCTTGAATAGTTGTAGATCT